GGAGTAAGCCCTGTGGTACTCCGGGGATCTATACTTCTGAGTAGACATCCAACAAGACGCAAAGTCGCCGTAATTTAAGGTAGCGGGGAGTTGCCAGCGGGCGGAGAAAACCCTTAAAACCGAGATTAAACTATGGATTGGTTTCTCCTCCTCGCCACGAGTTCCCCGGGAACAGATCTCCTTCTCCCCAATCCTCGTAGGCTTCTTCCGCACTGCAGAAATAATGCAGTTTAACACCACTTTAACTGCCCTGGCTCCATGCTAGGAGTTGCATTTTGTCTTGGCCCCAGAGAGAGCTCTCTGACAGAGAAGGCTCAATGTCTCACAAAATTACAAATCCCAGAATGCCATGACACGGAGCCGTGGCAGTCAAAGCGGGGTCAAACTGGATTATTTCTGCAGTGTGGACGCAGCCTTAGACTTCGCTTTGGCGAAACGGGAGAGATGCCCAAGTCAAGGCGGAGGGGTTCTTCTTAGTTGGAAAAGGTCCCAGCCACCATTTCTTCCCTTTGGCCAGTTTGCCTCTTTTCAATCCGGATTCCAACCGCGGACCCAGGCTCATTCAGACTCGGCTTCGAGTTCAAACCGGATTAGAGAGGCCATAAATTGTATTAATATATCTGTATGGAAATTTTAATGTTGTAAGCCGCCCTGATTGCTCTGCAGAGGGGCGAGATATACATTATTATTATTATTATTATAAATGGGAAAGCTTGCGCCGGATTTCTTCCCTGAATCCTGCTCCAAACCTGGATCAACAGTAATCCCAACGCGAACCAGGCCTTTCTTACTATTTCTTACTATTTTTTTAAAATGCAGAATCTCCTTTTCTGACTGATCCAGGGCAGGAAACATGATAGGCACAGCGCTTCCGTCCCATGTTTCTTTCCATGTCATAATTTTACTATCTCAAAACAAACCTCTTTTTGAAAATATGACTTCTGTACACCTTGGGCAAGTTACACTCTCTCAGCCTCAGGGGAAGATAATGACAAACCTCCTCTGAATAAATCTTGCCAAGAATCTTGAATCTTGAACCAAGAATCTCCTCTGAACATATCTTGCCCAGTCGAAAATGACTCGAAGGCACACAACAACGAAACAAAAATAAATGTTTGAAAGGCCTGTCCAGGGCGCTGTAAATGTCCATTTTAAAGGAATGTTTACAAAAAAGGAGAAATTAGGTTTTCTCCCCCCCTCCCCTTTTCCTCTTTCCCGCTCAAGATAGAAGCCTACGAATTAACATTGAAAGATAAAACTAACATTTGTCACCAAAAACATCAGTTTCATACATCTTGCGAGGGGAGCGTTTTTGCTGCTGCCGTCGCACATAAAATCGGCCAAAGTTTGCAGAAAGCATCGTCTTATTTATACACCGGATAAAAATAGCCGGGGAGGAGAATGAAAAAAGAGGGGGGAAATTTTGAATTTTTTTTCCTTTTAAATAAAAAGTAAATCGTGTGCAACATAGTTATATAATATGATTAGCATAAACGAGCAAAATGCGTGCACACAAATGATGGGATCCTGAACCGGGGAATGGGTGTCACAGTGGCAATGATGTGCGGTGTGTCTTTGCAAAGAAATTGTGTTTTAAAAGCCAATTGCCGTCTTGGCTCCTTTCCTGTCCTTTTTGCGCCGCTGGAAAACAATCCCAAACTTACTTATTTCTTTTCTGTTTCCTTTCCGTTTCCTCCCTTTTCATTAAAACCATGCTTAGGAGTGCAATCCCTTTCTTGTCTACTCAGGAGTAAAATCCCAGACATTGCAGCCTCAAGGACGGCAGCCCAAAATTATGTGTGCATGTGTGCATAATATATTTATATCTGGGTGGGCTTGCGTGTATTTACACACCAAACTGCAACATCGGGATCCCACTCCACTTCCACTGATACCCGCAACAGAAAAGCGAATTTCTGGGCCGGGAAGGAGAAAGGATCGGAGAACAAACCCGCTCCGCCTTAATTTAAACCTGTGCGGATGATTTGGAACAAAAGGCGTGAAAACAGCGTCACTTCTGCAAAACAGATCTTCCTGTACTTTTATTTTTCTTTTCTTTTTTTTTTTCTTTTGTAAAAAAACCAAACACATTATTAGGACTCTCATAGTGGCAGGTTTTAAGTCAATAAATAATAATAATTTAAGAAATCCCCCCCCTTTCCCCTTCGACAAAAAGGGGAAAACATGTACACCGAGGACTACAACAAACATTATGGAAAGAAAGGAGAAAAACAGGGAGGGAGGAAGGGGAAAAATTAAAGAAGGGTGGACAAAAAAGGGAAGGGAAGGGAAGGAAAATAAAATAAAATAAAAAAGGAAAGGAGGAAGGAAGGAAGGAAGGAAGGAGGAAAGGTAAGGAAAGGAAAGGAAAAAAGGAAGGAAGGAAAGAGGAGAGGAAAGGACAGGAAATAGGTTAGGAAGGAAGGAAAGAGAAAAGGAAGGGAAAGTAAAAAGAAGGAAGAAAGGAATGTGGTAAAAAGGAAGGAAATAAAGAGGGAAATGAGAAAACGAAAGGAAAGTACAATAAAGAAGGAAGGTAGGAAGGAAGGAGAAAAGGAAA